CCCAGGGACAATTTCTCAGTTTCTCTCTCTCTCTTTGCCTCTGGTGAGCATCATGTGCCCTATCAAGAAACAAAAAAGCAAAACCACATGTCCAGGTCTTGATGGTTTCATTGGTTAATATTACCAACATTTAAAGAGAAATTAACACCAGTTTTTCACAAACCCTCTCAGAAAGATATGAGAAAACAGTTACCATTTCATTCTTGTGAGGCCTGTATTACCCTAACATCAGAACCAGATCAAAAAACGCCACAAGAAAAGTGTGGACCACTATTTCTTTTGAATATAGATACATAAATCAACATAATACTAGGAAACCTCATGTATAAACCACGACCAGTAGGATTTATCAGGAATGAGAAGTTGCTTTCACATATAAAATTTCATTAGCATAATATACCATATCAATAGAATACATGACAAAAATTGCATGGTCATCTCAATAAATGCCAAAAAAAGCATTTGAGATTTCATACCTCTTTATGAGGTATGTAGTAGAAGAAAACTTCCTCAATCTGATCTGTGTCCTCCCAAGATTCACATGCAATAGGATTAAGGGGTGGGGGACCAGGAGGTGGTGTGGAGGTTAAAATGCTGGACTTTCACATGGCCGACTGCCCTTTGAGTCTGGATCCCACAGCTTGAAAAATCACACTGGATGCATGTGTGTGTGTGCCCAAACCTCTGAGAGAATGGAGAAGGGATTGCGGCATGGCCATCCTCTCTGGGAGCTGATTTCTTACTTTCCCTCTCTCTGTTTCTGTCTCTCACTAGTTCATGCACATGCCCTATGGCAAAAACCTAAAAATAAATTAAAAAGTAAGTGAAGACTTGGGACCAGCAGGTGGCATAATGGTTACATCACTGGACTCCAGCAGTTGGAGTCCTGGAACTGGAGGCTTTAAACTCATGCTGGGCACGTGTGCATGCATGCCCAAAATCTGAGAGAAGAATGGTGGAGAAGGGATTGTGGCACTGCCATCCTTGCTGGGAGGTGATTTCTCACTTTCTGTCTCTCTGTCTGTCTCTCTGGCAAGTGCACATGCCCTATAACAAAAATATCTCTCTAAAAGAAAATTGGGACCAGCAGTTAGTGTAATAGCAATGTCGCTGGATTCCCATGAAGTTGAATGTGGTTCAAGTCCTGGACCTGGTGGCTTAGACTCATACCAGGCGTGTGTGCATGTGTGCCCAAGATCCTGAGAGGAGAATGGAGAAGGGATTGCAGTGTGGCCATCCCCCCTGGGGGGGTGACTTCTCGCTTTCTGTGTCTCTGTCTCTCTTTCTGGCAAGCACACACGCCTTATAGCAAAACAAACAAACAAACAAATAAAACAACCTCTCAAAAAAACCCCAAAAAACAAAAAAACGTCTTGAGCCAGCAGGTAGTATGGTGGGTTAAGGTGCTAGACTCCCACGTGGCTAACCATGGCTCAAGTCCTGGACCTGGCGGCTTGCCTTCTCCCTTTCTCTCTCTCTGTTCTTCTCTTTGGTCAAATTAAAATAAATAAATAAATGGGTAAATAAAGTTAAATAAAATAATCCTTTACAAAAAAAGAATAGAGAGGGTCCAGCAGGTGGCATGGTGGTTAAGGTGCTGGACATTCCCACATGGCCAACCTTGGTTCGAGTCCTGGACCTGGTGGCTTGCTTTCTCAATTTCCCTCTCTCTCTCTTTCTATCTATCGCTGGTCAAATTAAAATAAATGAATAAATAAAATTAAATATTTTTTTAAATTAAATAATTCTTAAAAAAATTAAAAAAAGGCCAGTTTGAAGCTGGCAAGTGGCATGGAGATTAAAGCACTACAGGGCTGACTGGGCAGTTTGAGTCCAGGACATGGTGGCTTGAAAATCATGCTTGGTGTGTGTGTGTGCCCAAAATCCCGAGAAGAGAATCGAGAAGGGATTGGAGCATGTTATCCTCCCTTGGGGGATGAGTTCTCACTTTCCCTCTGTCTCTTTCGTTTCTCTCCTGTGAGCATATGCACCCTATGGCAGACTTAAAAAGGAAAAAAAAAGTCGTTGCTTTAATGAAAAGTATGGAGTAAGGTAGTTATGCACAGAAATGGTAACAATGAAATTGGAAAATACTGCTGTTAGCATGAAAATATGGAACAACTTGTACATTTCACCATTTATTTTTATTATTTTTTTTAAAGAATGATTTTTATTTCACTTTATTCATTATTATTATTTTCTAGTTCAGAGGGAGACAGAGAGAGAGAGAAAGAGAAAGTGAGAAAGCAAGCCACCAGGTCCAGGACTTGAACCATGGTCGGCCATGTGGGAGTCCAGTGCCTTTAACCACTACACCACCTGCCGGCCCCCTCATTTCACCATTTATAAATTATACCTTAAAAAAAAGGGAATGCTCTGTGAGGCTGATTCACATGGGAAGGTTCTAGGTTCGTGTCTGGAGATCTTCCTAAGAATGCCAGGAACGCACATGCATGTGAGCCAGGGCTGGTTTAGGCTGGGGATGGAGCCCACATGGCTGACAGTGGTTCAAGTACCAGACTCAGCAGCTTGGAAAATCATACCAGGTGTGTGTGCACCTGTGTGCTCAAAATCCTGAGAGAATAGAGAAGAGACTGCGGTGTGGCCATACCTCCAGGGGGAGTGTTCTCATTTTTCCTCTCACTGCCTCTAGTGAGCCCCATGGCAAAAAACCTAAAAGGAAAAGACTACTTAACAATGCATATGTTGAAGTATTTGGAGAGTATTATTTATTTACTTAATTTTTGGAGAGGTTTTTGCTATAGAGCATGTGCACTAGCCAGAAAGGCAGAGAGAGACAAAATGCAGGACTGGAACCATGGTTGACTACATGGGAGTCCAGCGACATCGCCCTTATGCCATCTGCTGGTCCCTATAGAGAGTAGTATTGATGTTTGCCTCTCACTTTGAAATGTACCACAAGGGACCAGCAGATGGCCTAGCTGTTACATCACTGGACTCCCACATGGCTAATCAGGGTTTGAGTCCTGGACCTAGTGGCTTCAAAAGTATGCTGGGCACATGTGCATGCATGCTCAAGATCCTAGGAAGAGAATGGAGAAGGGACTGCAGTGTGGCCATCCCCCTGGGGAATGATTTCTTTCTCTCCCCCCTGTCTTTCTGGTGAGCACATATGCCCTATAGCAAAAATCTCTTAAAAAAAAAAATGGGGGCCGGCAGGTGACATGGTGGTTAAGGTCGCTAGACTCCCACATAGCCAACTGTGGTTTGAGTTCTGGACCTGGAGGCTTGCTTTCTCACTTTCTCGCTCTCTTTCTGTCACTCTGTCCCCCTCTGGTCAAATTAAAGAAATAAAATAAAATTTAAAAAAAATTTTTTTTGGATAAGTTTTTGCTATAGGGCGCGTGTGCTCGTCAGAAAGACAGAAAGAGACAGAGAGACAGAAAGCAAGAAATCACCACCCAGGGGGGATGGCCAAGCCATAATCCCTTCTCCTCCATTCTCCTCTCAGGATCTTAGGCACGCATGCACACGCACCCGGCGTGAGTTTAAGCCACGGGGTCTAGGACTCGAACCACGGTCAACTATATGATAGTTCACCGACAGAGCCATTACGCTAACTGCTGGTCCCCCCAAAAAAATTTTTAAAGAATTATTTTGATTTAACCTTATTTACTTATTTACTTATTTTAATTTGACAAGAGAGGGACAGAGTGAGAGAGAGAGAGGGAAAGTGAGAAAGCAAACCACCAGATCTGGGACTAGAACCATAGTTGGCCATATGGGAATCTAGCACCCTTAACCACCATGCCATCTGCTGGCCCCAAAAAATATTTTTTTAAAAAAGAAATGTACCAGGGCCAGCAGATGACGTGGTGGTTAAGGGTGCTGGACTCCCACATGGCCAATTGTGGTTTGATTCCCAGACCTGGCGGCTTGCTTTCTCTCTCTCTCTCTCTCTCTCTCTCTCTCGCTCACTCTGTTCCTCTCTGGTCAAATAAATAAAGTTAAATAAAAATAATTATTTTAAAAATAAAGTACCACAAAAAGATAATGGACCCATAGGTTTTGAATGGTCAGAACAGAAGAGTCATGATGCATTTTTTTTAAAGAGACTTTTGCTATAGGGCATGTGTGCTCACTGGAGAGATAGAGAGAGAAAGCAAGAAATCACCCCCGGAGGATGGCCACGCTGCAATCCCTTCTCCTCCATTCTTCTCTCAGGATTTTGGACATGTGCCAGCCTGAGATTTTTTAAGCAGTCAGGTTTGAGGCTTGAATCATGGTCAACTACGCGGGAGTCTACCAGTGTAACCATTACACCACTTGCTGGTCCCAGTCATGAAGCTTTTTTTTTTTTTTTTTGGAGAGGTTTTTCACTATAGGGCCCGTGCACTCGCCAGACAGACAGAGAGAGACACAGAGACAGAAAGCGAGAAATCACCCCCCGGGGGGACGGTCACGCCGCAATCCCTTCTCCTCCATTCTCCTCTCGGGATCTTGGGCACGTACGCACACGTGCCCGGCATGAGTTTAAGCTGCCGGATCCGGGACTCGAACCGCAGTTGACTACATGGGAGTCCAGCAACATAGCCATTACGCTAACTGCTGGTCCCCCTATGCATTTTTGCATAGAAAAATACATCATAATTTTTCCAACAATCTAATAGATTGGGTGGAAGGTTAGATAAAAAAGATAAAGCAAAATGTTGGAGAAGTCACATGGTGCATACATAGATGCATTTGTTATGTTTTCAACTTCTCTGTATGTTTGAAAACTTTCATATTGGGCAAATATGTACATAGAGAGAATATAATGAATAAATTAATGAATAAAGCCTTAAAGACTGGGCAAAAATATGCTGAAATGCTTTCTTTCATACATACATGTACCCACACACACACACACACACACTCACACACACATACATATTTATATGCATTCATATACATGTATGTATGTATTTTCCCCTAAAATGGGCTTGTACTACTTCTATAATAAAATATCTTTTTTTCCAGGAAGATAAATGGCACAAAAGTCACCTGATAAAATACACATTTATTCAGAAGGCAAAATAAGAAGCAGCAGCTCCCCAAGACCAGCTGGGAGTGGACGATAATAGCTGCCCCATGTCTAAGGGGACGACAAAGCCTCAACACTTCCCTACTGCCAGCCCGGGGGAAGGCAAGAACAGAGCTCATGGAATAGCTCTGGACGGACCTGCTGTCCAACCTGCCCGCCTGCCCACTGGTCAATGTGTCCTGTATCCTGAAGAGCCAGAATGTCAGGAGAGGTGGCAGAGGAAGTCGTGCAGAGGCAAGGCCAGGAGCCCTGACAGGGAGATCCCCAAGGTATCGGAGATACAGGCAGTTTCCATGGCAAATTCCCGGTGCTCATCACTGGTCTGGAGGGCAGACACAAGGGTGAGGCTTCAGTCCTAGAGGTCCCTGCCCTGGACTTCCCAGAGAAGACGCCCACAGCCCTCGCCAGGCAGGCACTGACCTCCAGGGCAATGTTGTGGAAGGTGTTCACGTACGCGGCACCGCCCAGGAGCCCCTCATACACAACGATCAGGAAGACGAGGTAGATGCTGGGCAGGAAGTTCAACAACACGTCTGCTAGCAGGAAGGCCAGGTTGAGGCACTGTGGACACAGGCAGGGAGCGGGCGGAGCCTGGGTCAGAGCAGGGCGGGAAGGGATGCCAGGCATACCATCTAGTAGCCCACGGTTCTAAGAGGGACTAATGAAAGAGAGGGCTGGGGGACCAGCAGGTGGCATGGTGGTTAAGGTGTGGACACTCCCACATGGCTGACCACGGTTCTAGTCTTGGACCTGGTGGCTTGCTTTCTCACCTCTCTGTCTCTCTTTCGTAAAATTAATATAAAATGAATAAATAAATAAAATTAAGTAAAAATAATTAAAAAAAAAAAAAGAAAGAAAGAAAGAAAGAGAGGGCTGACAGGCCTGGATAAAATTCAAATCCCAACACCCAGCCGGCTACCAGCCCCGGGCTCTAGGGCAGGCTTTCTAACTAACCCATTGCCAGTACTTTGTACCTTGTATGTGGCTTCCTCCTGCTCACCTCTGCCTGGAGCACCACCTACCTTCCTTCACTTGGGATCTCCTAGTCACTGTTCCTGGCTCCGCTTGGATCAAGCTCAATCCTACTCCTGGGATCTCGTTTTCTCCTCCCAGGCCTCCTTAAATAGAACACCTTTTCCCATCCCCACCCCCCATTTTACCCCGCTAGGACCAGTGGTTTTCAAGCGGGTGATTTTAATGCCCATGGGACATCCAGGAACATCTGGAGGATTCTTGTCACCACTGAGGGAGGGGGGGTTACTGGCATCTGGTGGGTACAGGCCAGGGATTCTGCTAAATACCCTACAATCACAGGAGAGACCACAGCAAAGAACTCCCTGAATGTCAAGGGTTGGGCCTGAGCCACCCTGGTCTAACTGTTCCCACCTTTTTCAGGAAGCCTCCCTGACCCTCATCTGATGGTACAACAGGTACCTTCTTCCAGGTCTCGGTCCCTCAGGGGGTGCCACTATCCCAGCCCTGAGCGCTGTATCGTGTCACCTCTTCCGTGTGCAGGCCACCACGTGGCAGTTCATGTTCTTCATGTACCCAAGAATCACCTGGGATCTTATTTTTTATAAGTTTTTGCCATAGGGTGCATGTGCTTGCCCCGACAGAGAGCGGGAAAGGGAGAAATCACTCCCCAGAGGAGATGGCTACGCTGCAATCTCTTCTCTGCCATTCTCTCAGGGTTTGGGGCACACACGCACATGCGCCTGGCATGATTTTCCCATGTGGGAGTCCGGCTCATTAACCATACCACCTGCTGGCTCCCTGGGATCTTGTTAAAACGTACCATGTAGGCCTCCCCCTCAGAGGTCCTCACTCGGTAAGTCTAGGGCTCAGAGGTCTGCATTAAGAACACACCCTGGTGGGGCCAGCAGATGGCGTGGTGGTTAAGGCGCTGGACATTCCCACATGGCCAACCATGGTTTGAGTCCCAGACCTGGTGGCCTGCTTTCTCACTTTCCCTCTCTCTCTCTGTGTATCTCTCTCTGATCAAATTAAAATAAATGAATGAATAAATAAAATTAAAAAAAAAAAAAAAGAACACACCCTGGTAACTGGGGTAGTGGGCACATTAGACACTCGCCCTGCACATGATACAAGGTGCTTTCTGTAATGGAAATAAAGGGTTACAAACCCCACTTCTACGAAACAGCCTTGGTTAAAATCATACTAAAACTATAAGCCACATGTTTCAGCACGAGCTAGATGAACCCCGAGTTATGAACTATCGACAAAACACTTTGGGCTTTGCGGGTACAAAGCCCTAGGCTGGCAATGTCGCTTGGGTAAATAAGGACGGTTAGAGAATGTTTACAAACTTCGGCCATAACATTGAAAGTAATCTACACTTACTGTGTATCTTGTTGATACAGAACTGAGTTTTTAAGTTTTAAGGACAGGGGCTGCCAGGTGGCATGGTGGTTAAGGGCACTGGACTCCCACATGGCCGACTGCGATTCGAGTCCTGGACCTGGTGGCTTGCTTTCTTTCTCACTCTGTACTTCTCTGGTCAAATTAAAATAAATAATTAAATTAAAATAACTCTTTTTAAAAAGTTTGCTTTTGAGAGTTTTTTGCTATAGGGTGCATGCGCTCACCAGAAAGACAGAGAGACAGAAAGTGAGAAATCACCCCCCAGGGGGGATGGTCATGCAGCAATCCCTTCTCTTCCATTCTCCTCTTGCCATCTGCTGGTCCCTTCTTATGGAGAAAGGATTGGGGTGTGGCCATCCCCCCTGGGGGGTGATTTCTCACTTTCTGTCTCTCTGTCTCTCTCTGTCTTTCTGGCAAGTGCACACGCTAGCAAAAACCTCTCAAAAAAAAAAAAAAAAAGGAAGAAAGAAAAAAATTATTTGTAATTCATTTAAAAGAGATTTCCTCCTGCTCACCTCTGCCTGGAGCACCACCTACCTTCCTTCACTTGGGATCTCCTAGTCACTGTTCCTGGCTCCGCTTGGATCAAGCTCAATCCTACTCCTGGGATCTCGTTTTCTCCTCCCAGGCCTCCTTAAATAGAACACCTTTTCCCATCCCCACCCCCCATTTTACCCCGCTAGGACCAGTGGTTTTCAAGCGGGTGATTTTAATGCCCATGGGACATCCAGGAACATCTGGAGGATTCTTGTCACCACTGAGGGAGGGGGGGTTACTGGCATCTGGTGGGTACAGGCCAGGGATTCTGCTAAATACCCTACAATCACAGGAGAGACCACAGCAAAGAACTCCCTGAATGTCAAGGGTTGGGCCTGAGCCACCCTGGTCTAACTGTTCCCACCTTTTTCAGGAAGCCTCCCTGACCCTCATCTGATGGTACAACAGGTACCTTCTTCCAGGTCTCGGTCCCTCAGGGGGTGCCACTATCCCAGCCCTGAGCGCTGTATCGTGTCACCTCTTCCGTGTGCAGGCCACCACGTGGCAGTTCATGTTCTTCATGTACCCAAGAATCACCTGGGATCTTATTTTTTATAAGTTTTTGCCATAGGGTGCATGTGCTTGCCCCGACAGAGAGCGGGAAAGGGAGAAATCACTCCCCAGAGGAGATGGCTACGCTGCAATCTCTTCTCTGCCATTCTCTCAGGGTTTGGGGCACACACGCACATGCGCCTGGCATGATTTTCCCATGTGGGAGTCCGGCTCATTAACCATACCACCTGCTGGCTCCCTGGGATCTTGTTAAAACGTACCATGTAGGCCTCCCCCTCAGAGGTCCTCACTCGGTAAGTCTAGGGCTCAGAGGTCTGCATTAAGAACACACCCTGGTGGGGCCAGCAGATGGCGTGGTGGTTAAGGCGCTGGACATTCCCACATGGCCAACCATGGTTTGAGTCCCAGACCTGGTGGCCTGCTTTCTCACTTTCCCTCTCTCTCTCTGTGTATCTCTCTCTGATCAAATTAAAATAAATGAATGAATAAATAAAATTAAAAAAAAAAAAAAGAACACACCCTGGTAACTGGGGTAGTGGGCACATTAGACACTCGCCCTGCACATGATACAAGGTGCTTTCTGTAATGGAAATAAAGGGTTACAAACCCCACTTCTACGAAACAGCCTTGGTTAAAATCATACTAAAACTATAAGCCACATGTTTCAGCACGAGCTAGATGAACCCCGAGTTATGAACTATCGACAAAACACTTTGGGCTTTGCGGGTACAAAGCCCTAGGCTGGCAATGTCGCTTGGGTAAATAAGGACGGTTAGAGAATGTTTACAAACTTCGGCCATAACATTGAAAGTAATCTACACTTACTGTGTATCTTGTTGATACAGAACTGAGTTTTTAAGTTTTAAGGACAGGGGCTGCCAGGTGGCATGGTGGTTAAGGGCACTGGACTCCCACATGGCCGACTGCGATTCGAGTCCTGGACCTGGTGGCTTGCTTTCTTTCTCACTCTGTACTTCTCTGGTCAAATTAAAATAAATAATTAAATTAAAATAACTCTTTTTAAAAAGTTTGCTTTTGAGAGTTTTTTGCTATAGGGTGCATGCGCTCACCAGAAAGACAGAGAGACAGAAAGTGAGAAATCACCCCCCAGGGGGGATGGTCATGCAGCAATCCCTTCTCTTCCATTCTCCTCTTGCCATCTGCTGGTCCCTTCTTATGGAGAAAGGATTGGGGTGTGGCCATCCCCCCTGGGGGTTGACTTCTCACTTTCTGTCTCTGCCTCTCTCTGTCTTCTGGGTGACTGCAAGTGCCCTATAGCAAAAACCTCTCAAAAAAAAAAAAGTTTTAAGGACAAAGGACTTTCCTGTAATAATTGAAAGTTTATTTGTAAGCAGTTACCTGCAAAGGCTGTAGACTTGTAGCCCTGAAACAATGAAGGCTGCTCATGCGAAACTCCTCTGGCTAGACGGTTGTAAGGGACACGCCTGTGCACTAGCACCTAGTGTTTGCCTTGAGGAACTGAATTTGCTGAGCAGCCTTGAGATAAACAACTTTCTGGCTACAACACTACTGATTCTATTATAACTATCTATTGGGAAGGAAAGAACTGTAGTATTTTTTTCTAGTTCCAGGCTTTCATTTGAAAGTCTCTTTGCATGAGAGATATGCAAATAATTATTAAGCAAGAGCTTCTCATTAAAACACAACAAAAACCTTATCCTTTCATTCTTCTTATCTCTATTTTTCACAACTACCCCGAGAAACGGATGTTGGCACAGTGGTAATGCAACTGGACTCATGTGGGATAGGTGCTGGGTTCATATTCTGGGACCTCTTGGAGCACACCAGGAGTGCATGTGCACGCCCGGGATTCAGGCCAGCTGAGACTGGGAAGTATGACAGTGGGAGGCATCTGCCGGACACCTGTCCCTCTGTCTTTCTCTCATAGGAAAAAAGGAACGTATTTAACATTAAAATAAGTTCAGAAGGAAATGATCATGTACGATAAATACTTCTTATTGAGGGAGGGATGTTTCGAGCCTGGGGAAGCTGAGAGCCAACGTGGGAGTGGAGCGAGGGGCAGGAGCTCAGTACCTGCAGCAGGGCCAGGGCCCAGGTGAAGCGGATGCGACAGCAGCGGAGAGAAGAGCGTGAGATGAAGACGCCAGCTTGGTAGAGCATCTGGTACCTGCGACAGGGCCAGGGAGAAAGAAACTCCTCTGGGTATTGACCCACTCTGCTTGGGTGCCTACTGGGCAGGGTGGCTCCTCCCAACCCCAGTCCCTCTCATCAGAGGCCCCCCAGCCCATCACTCGGTCTGCCAGCCACCTTTACTCCCATTACCAGCGGTACTGCTGTGCGTGACTCAGGGAAGTGTTCCGGAAAAAGAGCAGCTCGAACTGCAGCAAAGACCAGACAAGGGGGATGGGCATGCAGCGACCGATCGCTGCTTCCACACCCCTCCCAGCACTGCTTACTTACGAGTCCCTGATTGATGAAATACTCGGCAAAGTAAACGAGGACCAGGGGGATGATATACCACAGCAGCCCCTGGAAGAGTCAGAGACGTAAGTGGCAGGCCGGGAGATGGGTGCCATCCATGGGGGACAGAGCGCAGCCACCATCCACACCTTGAACACGGTCCACCTTTCCTGAAGGGAGAGGTTTGGGCTGGAGCCTGCAGGGGAAGAAGGCAAGCAAATGGGCAGGTGAAATCTTCACACTGAAGTCTCAGCGAAAAGGAGCTGCCCTATACGAACTAATCGGCCACCATCGCAGTGTGCACAGCCTTAAATGCCCCTGGATTGCATGCTTATAAGTGGTTAAAATGGTAAACTCTATGTTACATACATATTTTGCCACAATTTAATAAAAACGAGTCATCTGGTGAGACCTCTTCATGGCTCCTATACAGCTGAACAGCTGCTGCCTGCCCACTCCGCTCCAGCCCCGCCGGGCCTTCTCTTGGTTTCTAGAGCACCCACGTGCACTCCCACCACAGGCCCCTCACTTGCTGTTCCCTCTGCCTGGAACCCATTCACCCCGATATCCACAGGGTTGACCCCTTGTCAGTCACATCTCAGCCCAAACTCCACTTCCTAAAAGGTCTTGTTTCTAGGGCTGGACAGTGGCATGGTGGTTAAGGTGCTAGATCCCACACAGCTGACTGTACAATTCGAGCCCCACACCTGGCAGCTTGAAAAACACTCCATGCTCAGGCACACACGCGCACACGCGCGTGCACGTGTGCCCAAAATCCCAAGAAGAGAATGGAGAAGGGACTGCAGCATGATTGCCCCCCCCCCCGTGAGGGGATGCTTTCTCACTTTTCCTCTGTCTCTCTATCCATCTATCTCTTTTCAGCAAGCACACACAACCTATAGCAAAAATTAAAAAATAAATAAATACATAAAGGGACGTGTCTAGAGTAGAACCTCTCCCTAGCTCCCCCAGCTGTCTTCTTCTGTCACATCGCTGTTTTATGTTCTCCCAGCACTTGGCCACACACGACCACAACTTGTTTCCCGTTGACTGGTTCATAAGTCTGTCTCAACTCCTCACCCGAGCCACCACCGTACCCCATGGCTGGAATATCTGGCCCATAGTGAGCACTCAGTATTTCTGGAATATTAGATGGCCGGAAAAGTCATGATGCAGTTTTGTATAGAAAAATATGTCATTATTTTTCCGATGACCCATAGATGAAGGCTTTTACCATAACTTGACCACCCATCCCTCTCCCCTTTCAACTCTGTTCATTGCAAAGAAGAAAAGACTAAAACCCGGAGCCAGGAAGTGCCCTCTCTGAGGGCTGCGTCTCCCACCTGGCTTCGACTCAGAGGCCTCAGTGCCTATCAGGGGCTGCCGAGCTGCGGTCTCTGCCTCTTCCTCCCCTCCTGGGTCCTGGAGCTCGGGAGACGTGAGCAACAAGAAATAGCTGGAGGGAGAAGAATGAAGAGTCAAAGGGCCCCTGTCAGGCTGCAAAGGCCCCAGAGGCCACTCCCTCCCCGAGTACCCCTCACACACCTATATTCTGCCAAAGATGAGTAGTTCACTGCCTCTAAGACCCCCCCCAACCTAAGTTGGGGAGCTCCGCTGTAGAAAAGTGCTTACTATTAAGTGGAACTTAATTTATCTGTTTGTTGTTCCTCCTTGTGGGCCCTCGACTGGTCTGCTGTGCATGCCAAGCAGGTCAGACCTGTCTTCTTGCCATTCAATCCTGACAACTGCTCTATCGTCCCTTTATTGTACGTTTACTCTGTGCTGGGCCGGAATGAATTTCAGTCCCTTCTGTTGTGGCTTCGTGCTAACTGCCATATCTATATCCCTCCTATAGACAGGATGTCCTACTTAATATTTTCCTTTGAATTGACTCACTTTTTCAATCTGCCCTCCTCCTTAGCAATGATCTGTGAAGGCCCAGAATCTGGCCACACAGAACCCATAAAATAAAGTCCATCCATGTCCCACTCGGCTTGCCGTGGCTCACACTGTGCTGAATGCACCTCACTCACGCTTCGTGGGGAAGACAGAACTACCACCACTTGCAACATGGGGAAACTGAGGGTCGGAAAGGTAAAGCTCCTTGTCCGGTGCTACGCAGCTAACAAGTGGCAGCTCGGGCACTCAAACCCCAGGTTATTGGAGTCCAGCACCCACAACCTCTTGGAACAAGGCTGTAGGGGGTCTAAAGATTGGGGTCATGATTGCGTTCTCTCTCCTTGAATCCCTCCTCATCCCGGCCCAGGGAGCTCACCTGGCCAGCAGCAGAGCGGGGACACCCAGCATAGACAGCAGGGTGTGCTGGGGGGAGAGGCCAACCTGGGTGAGGCCCAGGTAGGACAGGGCCCCTAAAAGTCCCGCTCCTCCAGTCCCTGAGGACCACCAGGAGATCACAGCCCTGTAGAAGGAGAGCACAGGAGTGCTCAGGAGGACCCACACCAGCAGGGGGACTGCCCTTCCTCTCCCCCACCCCCCCACCCCCCGTCTGCCTCCTTACCTGGGGTAGAAGGCAGTGAGTGACAGGAAGGTGACCTCCCCTAAGCCTGAGGAGATGCTGGCCAGGACCACACCTGGGAGAAGGACGAGAACAGAGGTGACCATGCTCAGCCTTTCCCTGGACAGCCCCAGTACCCCAAGGTGAGTGACCATGGCCTCCTCTGCATCAGCCCAGAATGGCTAGAAGCAGATCCCTTGGACAGGATGGGGTCCAGATCTGAAGGAGAGCCGCCCTCTCCTCCACGTGTCCTTCACAGAGAACGGTGTCTCCACCCCCTGGTTATCAGACCAGCGGCCAGAACTCAGCCTTGACGTCTCCCCCATCTTCATCAGAGTCCTAATGAGTCTGTTCATCTCAACCTCCATCCAATTCATCCACGTCTTTCCACCGCCCCCACCACCTACCCCTCCAAATTGCCCTGTTCTGTCTCCTACTTGTGGCAGACTTCTGAGGGTTACGCTTCTTGAAAGTGTAGGAGGGCGTGATGGCGCCCGCCCTATGGAAAGTGTAGGAGACAACGCTCACAAATGCTTGCTGTGGTTCCTCTGGGCCCCCCACCACACACAGAACACACACTGTGGGGACAGCCAGACGTGGCCAAAATGCAGGGAGTGGCCAGATCTAGGCAGGAACCTAGGCAGGAACCTTTACAGTAGACATGACCACTGGCTAACTTCAGGGCAAGAGAAAGCTCTAAAGATGGTGTACTCTACTGTCGCACTGCAGGGCAGTGCATATTGAAAAGGAAAGTAGAAATACAGAAAGACTATGGGCAAAGTCAGACATCAGAGAGAACTATGTGCCGATTAAAGAAAGCTGAGCAACCGCCAGGGAAGGCTAGGAGAGGCTTGTTTACAACCACGAGAAGCAAGATACTTCAGAGCTGCAGTTGGTAATAGATAATATCCGACCTCCCCTGCCCTAGAAAAGAATGAGAACAGAACAGCTCGGGGCCACGGTGGTTTCCATCAGAGATGCTGGGTCCACCTGACCCCCTGCTTTTCTGTCTGTCTTTCTGTCCTTTCTCAGTCCACCAAAGCTCCCACTCAGAACCTAGGCAGGAACCTTTACAGTAGACATGACCACTGGCTAACTTCAGGGCAAGAGAAAGCTCTAAAGATGGTGTACTCTACTGTCGCACTGCAGGGCAGTGCATATTGAAAAGGAAAGTAGAAATACAGAAAGACTATGGGCAAAGTCAGACATCAGAGAGAACTATGTGCCGATTAAAGAAAGCTGAGCAACCGCCAGGGAAGGCTAGGAGAGGCTTGTTTACAACCACGAGAAGCAAGATACTTCAGAGCTGCAGTTGGTAATAGATAATATCCGACCTCCCCTGCCCTAGAAAAGAATGAGAACAGAACAGCTCGGGGCCACGGTGGTTTCCATCAGAGATGCTGGGTCCACCTGACCCCCTGCTTTTCTGTCTGTCTTTCTGTCCTTTCTCAGTCCACCAAAGCTCCCACTCAGGGTTCACATGCACCCCCAAACTTCACAGGCCAAGACAGAAGACCTGGCAACTCACCACACAGGCTGGTCCCCACTGAATGAGAAAAGGCAACCAAGACGAAGCTTCCTGCAGCACAAAGCCCGCTGACAAGCACCCGAGGGCTGAGGGTGGAAGGGGAGAGAAGGGGAAGGTCAGCTGCTCCGGGCAGCCCAGCCTCTCACCACTTCCTTTGCCCTCCCAGCCTCTTCTCTCTCAGATCCACCTGCCCTTCCCGTCGCTCCACACAGACCTGTAGGGCAGCAGGTGAAGTCCAAAAGGAGCCAGCAACTTGATGACGAGGGTGGGGAGGATGTCTGCCAAGAGCACTGCCTGCAACGGAGCAGAGTGAGGCCCGGCCTTCCCGGCACAACCTCCAGCCTGAGTGCCCACAGACAGGAGCCAGCCCCCCAGGCCTGGAGGCAGATCTGGATTCATGTCCAGCTCTGCTCCTGCTCGGCTGAGTGTTAAGGCATTTGCATTCTCGAGTTTCCTCATCTAGAAAATGGGGGTGACCGTAGTGCCCATCTCAAAGGACTGTTGTACGGATTAAACGAGAGAATAGATGCTATACACAGAATGGGCCCAGAAAACGATGGTCCCAATTACTATAGTCAAGACCATCCCGGGACCAGCAGGTGGCATGGTGGTTAAGGTGCTGGACACTCCCATATGGCCTATGATGGTTCAAGTCCTGAACCTGGTAGCTTGCTTTCTCATTTTCCCTCTTTCTCACTCTGTGTCTCTCTCTGGTCAAACTAAAAATAAACGAATGAATAAATTAAAAAAAAAAAAAAAGACCATCCCAGCTGAGGGACCAGCAGTTAGAGTAATAGCTATGTCGCTGAACTCCCATGTAGTTGACCGCAGTTCAAGTCCCAGACACGATGGCTTAAACTCACGCCAAGTGCATGTGCGTGCATGCCCAAGATCCCGAGAGGAGAATGGAGGAGAAGGGATTGTGGTGTGGTCATCCCCCCTGGGAGGTGATTTCTCACTTTCTGCCTCTCTGTGCTTTTCTGGCGAACGCACGCACCCTATAACAAAAACCTCTCCAAAAAAAAAAAAAAAAAAAGACCGTCCCAGCTGAGTACTGAGGGGTAGGGAGTGGGTCTACACCTGGGGACCTGGGTCAGGAGAGGACCAGATGAGTACTCACAGCCGTGGAGACAGAGTTGCAGTCAAATCGAGAGGAGCTGTTGTGGGGGAGGGCTGTTGGGCCTGGGTCCACCTGCGGTGAAAGAAGAAAGTCTTACCCAGGGAAGCAGGAGGGTAGACAGAGAAACAGTCAGGGTAGGGTAGACAGAGAGACAGTCAGGCTCCGGTCCCAGCTCTTCTTTAACCTGAAGGATGGCTTGGGTCAATGTTGGCCTCTCAGGACCCCAGCTCCTCAAAGTACATGATGGAGGGGGATTTTCATGTAAGTGGGCTAATAGCCCACAAGCCAAAGATGGGCCAGTAAGTAGACTTGTTTGGGTAACATATTCAAGAGCTTTCATACCATAATGTGGGTTTCCAGAATATTTTATTCTCCAGAAAATTTGATTCTGGACCAGATTCCCTGTTGGACATGTAAGGACGGTGACTGTGTCCCTTGGACAGGGCATGCACACTCCAGCTTACCATAGACAAATGGTTCTTAGCCAGGGACAACACCCACCTCCCATCCAGGGACTATTTGACAAAGTCTAGAGACATTCTTGGTTGTCACAACTGAGGGACAGGGAGTATACCACTCACATCTATTGGATAGAGGCCAAGGATGCTGTAAACATCCCACAATGCCTGCGACAGCCCCACAACAGAGAACCACCCGGCCCGACAGATCGTCAGGGCTCAGTTTAAGAAACCCTGCCATGGGCCCTACTCCTGCCCAGCACTTATTGATTTCTTAAAATCCCTTCTTGCTCCGAGGGTCTGGCAGGTCAGGGACTTTTGCAGGCATGCATGCTCCCGGCATAGGCAGGGAGACCTTGGAGGCAAATCTGGGACGTTCCCAGGGGAGTCAGCACTGCAGAGCACTGCATTGCTGCTATGCCAGGAGGGCCTGCATCTGCTTTACCGGGAAACAGGGCCAGGTTAGGTCACTGTCATCATCAACTTGTCCCCTTGGCCACCCCATTCCATGAGTTTTTCAGAGGGCCTCTGCTCCACGGTGGGTCCCTCATCTTCCCACAGAGACCAACCATGGTGTGGAGGTTGAAGGGCGTCACTCACATGGCTCTGGTTCCGGGGCACCCTATCGTGGCTAAGGATGTCATGGGCAGCACTCAACATCACCACGTAAGAGAAGTTGTTGCAAAGGCCCAGGAGCCTGGAAGGAGCAGGACAGATTTTAGTCCTTTCAGACTGACAACCCATACAGTTCTCCCCTTACCTGGGCCCTCTCATCAGGTCCCTCTGTTTTCTCACATCACCAAATCCTATCTTCATCTGGTGTTGGAGTCAAAAACAGAGACTTTGAGGGTTGGCTTTGTGGCCTGGTAGTCAAGGGAGCCAATCCCACATGGCTGATTGTGGTCCAAATCCTGCCCCGGCAGATTGAAAACCACGGCTAGCACATGAGCGTGCATGCCCCAAATCCTAGCAGGATGGAGAGGTGGAGGAAAAGGGATTGCAGCATGACTACACCCCATGTGGGGGGTACTCTCTCTCTCCCTTTCTCTCTCTCTCTCTCTCTGGCAAACACACATGCCCTCTAGCAAGTTAAAAACAGAGAGAGAGAGAGAAAGGAAAAGAAAGAAAAAGAAAATACAGACTTTGATACTACAGACTTGAGTTTACTTCCAACTTCGAAGATCCCTTCTAAGAAATTACCTTGGATCACTCTCGCCTCTGGGCTTCTGCTATGATCTAATTCCTGGGCCATTTCTCACCCACGAATGTACTGTAGTACAGTAAGACATTCCGGGGGGGCTTGAAACCCAAAAGACAGGGCCCAGGTTAAGAAACTCTACCAAGGGCCATACTCCCACCTGGCACCCATGGATCCCACTCTTCCCACTCTGTTCAGGATGATGTTCAGGCCCCAAGTCTGCCACTTACTACTTCAGTGGCCTCAGTTTACTCATGTGTAAAATGGGGGTACAAATTTCTCTCCTGAAAACCCCAGAGTGCTTGTAGGGGCTACTATACCAAAGCCCTTTGATCCCTGGAGGATCTTGTTGGCTGGGCCCAGTGGTGGCAAGGAAACAGGGCCCAGTACAAGAGATTTCACTAAGTGTCCTACTCACAACCCAGTACCGTTGAAGTGGTACTACTCTTCTCGTTTTGCTATTGAGGAAACTAAAGCTAAGAGAGCTTCAGTGACTTCCCAATGTCACATGGGAAGCCAATCTTGACCCAATTTATTATCCAACAAGTTAATGCTAGAAGTAGTAATATTTCCCAAGGCTCAATATTTAAATGATTTTAGAAGACAGATAAATGAGCTTTCAAAAAGTTGTATGGTAATGCATTTATTTAAATGCATACTTTCCACTTGAAGTAGTGATCTAGTCTTCTTTTCATTTCTTTTCTTTTTTTTGGGAGGTTTTTGCTATAGGGCGCGTGCACTCGCCAGACAGACAGAGAAAGAGAGACAGAAAGCGAGAAATCACCCCCCAAGGGGGGATGGGCACGCCACAGTCCCTTCTCCTCCATTCTCCTCTCGCGATCTTGGGCACGCACGCGCCCGGCGTGAGTTTAAGCCACCGGGTCCAGGACAAGAACCGCGGTCGACTACGTGGGAGTCCAGCGACATAGCCATTACACTAACTGCTGGTCCCCTTCTTTTCATTTTTTTAAAAGAGATTTTTTGCTATAGGGTGTGTGCACTTGCCAGAGAGACAAAGAGACAGAAAGGGAGAAATCAACACCTATGGGGGATGGCCATGCTACAGTCTGTCCTCCTTTGCTGAACTCCCACATGGCTGACCCAGCGGCTTAAAACACACCAGGCACAAGTGCATGTGCGTCCAAAATCCTGAGAGGAAACTGGAGAAGGGATTGCAGAGTGGCCATCTCTCTGGGAGATGTTTTCTTGCTTTCTGTCTCTCTGTCTCTCCCACTCTCTCCCATGAGGGTACGCACCCTATAGCAAAAATCTCTCCAAAAAATAAATAAAATAAAAATACATTTGTATAAAAAATTAAGGCTGAACTGGTTGGAGGGAAAACATGAAGTAAATAAACCTCCAGGTGGTACGAGGATCTGGCCAAAACCTGAAGATGGTAAGCAAATGAGTGAAGTTTGGGAAATTTACTCCTGTCTCAGGGCCAGGTAGTTGATTCAGTACACTGTGGATTCAGCTCCTTTGCCCAGCTCAACTTTTTCTTTTTTTGCTCCGTAGCTTCCTTCTCCCACCCCACTCACCAGAAGCCCACCGCGTCCTTCCAATGGGCACCCTGACGGTCCAGCAGAGGGGCCCGGGGCTCCGGGGTGGTCTCCTCCCCTAGGAGGATGAGAAGAGCGAATGAACCCAACCCACTCTCAGTGCACGAGGGCCCCACGAGTGTCCTCTCGGGGCCATCCTAGCTTCCATGCCCCTCAAGTGGGTCTGGGGCAGAGGGGGTGAGTCCCGTGAGGGCGGGCCGAATACTCACCCTCCGAATCCGACAGGCGCCGCCGCGAGCCCGCAGAGCTTCCCATGACATCGAGTTCAGATCCCCCGAAGGGTTCAAAGTCAGCGAGTGTTCAGAGTTGGCTCTGATGGGACGGGAGAGGATCTGCGACAGGTGAGAAGGATCAACGCCCCACTTGGGGGCCCAGCTCCAGCTTGTCTGCTGCACTCGCGCCCCACGATCCATCAGGCGAGTCCCGACTCCATCTCGTGCCCTCCCACGCCCCGCCACGCCACGCCCCACCCGCCAGACTCTACCCCCGCCCCCTCCAAAGCAGGGGGCACACGGCCTGTACCTTTAAGAGCAGCTGAGCGTACCACACCGAGGAGCCACGGGTTGGCGGCTCACGTGACAGCACAGGAGCGTTCCCCCATCACGTGCTTGGAGGTCCTCCCTATTTCCGGGTGTTCTCTAGGTCTTCACTTTGGGCCCTCTCGGCTTCGGAGGGCGTGAGCAAGCCGAGGCTGGGAGAACCCTGGAACTGCCGGTTCTCCCCTGGAGCAGGTGGAATCAGCGAGGAGAGCCACGTTGTTAAGACTTGCGGCCCGCAAGGCGGGACCGTATCCTGCCAGCACTAATCATGGCTGGGGGCCGGGGCTGGCCCCCCCCCCCCCCCCCCCCCTTC